TTTCACCGTCTGGCGAGAGGAGCTTCTTCAGGCTCAGCATCTCCTCATGCAGTCCGTTCAGGATGAAGCCCAGGTACTCCTCGGCATCCTCCTGTCGACCCTGGCAGGGCAAATGCAATGGTACTAACTGAAATGACCTGGGACCTGGCCTGCAACCACTTACTTCTGCCTCTGCTGACTCTCAGGGCTGAAAGTAAAGCAGTTCTAACACTGCCAGTAGCGTTCTTCAGACTGCTGAGCTGGCGGAGGTGGTGGGTTACTTAGTCCCCGCACTTCTGGGGATTTAAATTAAAAAAAAAAAATTATATATATGCATATATATATATCTCACCTGCGTTTCTGTTCTACTGACACAGAAGACAAAGAGCCCTTGCCACACACACCCAGAGCAGCCATGAACTGGCACCCCTACGCAGCTCCTGGCATCCCTACGCAGCTGCTGGCAGAGGACTGGAGCATGTGGAGAAGCTGGACAGATGTAGACAGTGGACTGTCGCACACACCGAGTCACATGTCAGCTCGCTAACCCCCATGGCCTGTGAAACTGACTCATCAGGACTGGCTCCCCTGTGTTCCTGGAGTGCACGTGCCCATCCCAAGGGTTTGTACGCTCTGCTTCAGGCCTCTGGGCCGTCTGGACCTGGGCATCTGCTCTAGCCACATGGAGCAGAGTAGGCGGGTGGGTGCCATCTGCGTGCAGCCAAGGGTAAAGTGGGCATGCGACGAGCTGGGACCGCTCTCCCAGCAATAGCCTGCTTACCAAGTTGGCCCTGGCTCACATCTGAGAATCTGGATTTTAAAAGATTCCCACCATTCCATGAATTGATAAGGAACTATGCCCTGAACTCTGGACAAGCAGCGTTAAGTTTGGCTGAAGACTCATCTTCCCTCTGCACATTCAGAAATTAGGGTTCAGCTAGGAGGGGCGGATCTGCTCCCAGGACTCTAAACCAGCATGACCCTGAGAGGCCACACTCTGTGCCTGCTGTCACATGTGCTGCTGGGGGAGATGTCTGCCACAGGACAGCTCTAGAAGAACCCAGGGAATCGTCCAGACGCACCACATACGTTTCCCTGTCCTGACTTGCTCTGGATCCAGCTGTTGTAAAACCTGTAACCATACGTGTGCCAGCTTGAGACCCGAGTCCCGCCTGCGAATCACTGCATCATATAGGATGGTCTCGGGAACTCAGCGCCCTAAGGTCACTTCAGAAAGAGGCTTCACAGCATGGCTCTGGCCAGAGCACAACCAAGGGCTCAGCCTCCAGAAGCGCTTGCTGAGCTCCGGAAGTGGCAGCCTGTCAGTGGGCCTGCACATTTGTCAGCCGTGCTTGTGGTCCGGTACCTAACTCCCCTGGGAGGACTGCATCCCTTGGCGAGGGTGGCTTGGCTGGAGGAAAAGCCCTATCTGTCTCCAAGCTGTGCTCATTTTATTTTTTTAAAAATTTTTTTTAACATTTATTTAGTGGGGGGGGCAGCTCAGCCCACCAGGGGGCGCGGCTGGCTGGCATGTGGTGCTGGGGGATCAAACCGCAGTCCCTGTGCTTTGCCAAGCTCGTTCCAAGTAGGTGCTTTAGACCACTGAGCCATCTCGCCAGCCCCTGTGCTCATTTTAAAAGATTCATATCCAGGGCCAGCCAGATAGCTCAGAGGATTGAAGTGCCTGCTTAGGCAGACCCAGGGCAGGTTTGATCCCCGGCATGCTGTGCCGGCCCTGCCCCTGGGACACAATGACATGTAGACTAAGACTGGGCGTAGTGACATGTGCCTGTAATCCCAGTGCTTGGGAGGCTGAAAACAGGAGGATCACTATGAGTCCAATCTACGTAGTAAGACCCTGAAGACCCTGTACTAAATACATAAAAAAAATTATTACCATTAAAAATAAAGATTTATATCTAGCACACTGAGGGACTGCAGTGTCCACATCACCCTCAAGCCCTGAAAGCAACAAATGCTGGGCTATTTCTTTTCTTTTCTTTTTTTTTTTTTTTGTGGAACCGGGAATTGAAGCCAGGCCCTAAGCGCTTATTCTACTGAGCTAACTTCCGTCCCCTGGGTTCAGTCTCTGCACACGGCAGCACAAAGCTCCTGTCTTGAGAGATAGTGGAGCCCATCTGTGAAGCAGGCGCCGCGAGGGAAGTGCCTTGAGGGCAGAGGGCAACTGTGCCTTGCCGCACCCTGATGAATACCACACGTCCTACTACCTGGGCAACAAATCAAGCCAATGCCCAAAGAGTTGTTAGGAGCATTTACAAGGCTTATATGTTAGGCTGTGCCTGGTGGGCTCCCAGGACGATGCCCTGGACACTCATCCTTCTCTGAAGCACGCAATTTCCTCAGGACATCGCTTAGGTAAATGTCACTTCCTCCACGCACTGCCTCTTTGACCGGATCCCTACACGGCACTTCAATGCCTGCACCGACTCAATGCTACCCCCAGGACAGAGAGCAGGCAGCGTCCTGTAACTGTGTGGGGACACCAGGCCCTGCGCACTGCACCCTATGTGTCGGCACCATGCCCCTTGAGCAAAGGGCCTGCGACACCCCACAGCTGCCTGGGCAGAACATGCTGAGCCGAGCAGCTCTCCTGACACCAGCCCAGGACACCCTGCTCCACAGCATAGGGAAGGGGCTCAGCCCCATGAGTTTGTGACCCTGGACAATGATCTCACCTCTGGGAACTCCAACAAGGCCACAATGGTCACACTTTGCTCATAGGGTCAATGCTCAGAGCAGTGCCTGGTGCACAGTGAAAGCCACATGAGCCAGGTCCAGCCACAAGGACTGTTACACTTTCCATCCATCCCAACAAGGGGCTCCATCAGCCCAGACTTAGTCCTACCAGAGCCAGAGAGTGGACACTCTGCCAGGGCAGCCCACCTTTTCAGACAGGCTGGACTTGATGACGGTCAGCAGTCCATAAATGTACGTGGGCTCAAAAGCAGCTCCAGGTCGGATGTCTCTCATGACTTTATCTCCGAGAGCTACAGCAGAGACAGGACACAGAGTTTTCTAACTAGAAGGACATCTTAAGTGACAGCAGATGCCCCCCATGACCACCCTTTGCCCCCGGAGGCCAACAGCACCATTGTGGTCACTACACCAAGACTGAATTCACCAAACTCAATGACAGCTGTTGACTGAAATCCCAGCGTGCAGGGCAGCAGGAGTCCCCACTTCCACTCACCTTGGCGGGGCTTTGGTGGCACAGGCATGTTGGTAAACTCGTTCATTAGCCGTACACTGAATTCGGGGCAAAGAGAAGCAGGACATATTAGAAAAAACGAACTTTCCCTGAAGCACCCTACCTGCTAGACAGAGTATTACTTACAATGCACTTGGCAGATGGTAGGTCACCAACACTGTCACAACTCACAAGTTCTATGTCTTTCTATGTATACTGTATATTTTAAGCCAACAAACAATACAATATTTTCTACTAAGTCTAGAGGACACAAACTTTTAATTCCATTTATGGTAACTTCCACATAAAACCATGAACACATCTGTTCAAAACAACTACAGAACTTATTTGTAGCAAGTCGAGAACTTCGTTCAACCATTCCTGTTCTAATTCTCAGAGGGGGAAGCCCACCCTCCCCACGCACCAAGGGTCTTACTTACAAGCTATCTATCATCGGTGTCGACGTGCAAGGCCTCTGCACCTTGGAGTACAGAGGAATGAACTTCATGAGGTGGTACATCGGAGGGCAGGCGACCAAGGCCTGCAGCGTCTACACATCGGCAGTAAGGAATGTGAAGGAACGCAGCAGGCACAACGAGCTCCCAGGTCACCTAACTCAGTCAGGTCTGTGATCCTAGCACTTAAGAGTCTGAGGCAAAGAGGATCACAAATCCAAGGCCAGCCTATGTAGCAAGCCTATGCAGCCAGGACTGAACAGTGAGACTCTTGTCTAAAAAATTAAAAAGCAAAATCTACCTGGACAAGGGTGCTGAACTGCAGAGGAAAGTAACAGAAAAAGGAGGAAACCATTAACCAGCAGGACTACGGCCCGACGACATCGGCGTGAGGGTCTGCTATGCGGCCAGGGTCACATTCCAGAGCTTGATGCGACCAGACTAGCTGAACTGGTCAGAACAAAAGCTCCTGTCCAAGTGGCCACTCCGCCCGATTATTTGGGACCATGCTAATGAGACGAAAACTTCCCCAATCCTATCAATCAGGTAAAAAAAAATTCCTCCTTTTGCACAGGTTTGGAGAAGCTGGGGTCAGAAATAATCCTGTCTGCAAGCCAATTAGGCAAATCAAGTAATGAACCCGATTTTTTGGATGAGACGTTCAGGCCAGTGGCCTCCTAGAAGGTGCACCAAGTCGGGTACACCCAGAAGTAACTACTGCGGCGCGCCGGCCCTGGGGAGGGCGTGCAAGAAGGATACAGCATTAATGTAGCACCAGTTTCCTTTATTGATCAGCCCACGGGGTTGCAATGACACTGGCTTATGTATTAGCGTTACGTTCTCCAGTAACTCTGAAAAAATGAAGAGACATGTTTAAGAAGTTAATGGCATCCAGTGAATAAATCTAAATCCATCGAAATGCTCCAGCTGGGAGACTATTTGGATTTCCTCCAAAAATAGCACACATTTGAAGAAAATCCATGCTGGTAAAGCTTCGTTCAATCCTATGTCAGGCACATCCATGATAAAAGGATTTTTAACTAATATTGCCCTAGAACACCAGCACTGATGTGTGTAAGTAGGAAACACAAGAGGTACTGATTTTACTGAGAAGCAAAGCCCAGTGTACTGGTCCTAAAGAACAGCTGGAAGCGCAAGCTTCTCCCCTGCAGTGCTGCGCTCCCTCGGACACCGACACTGTGCACAAAAGCACTTCAGTGCAGACCTTGCTCCTCCACCTCCGCATTCCTAGCACCTGACACTCCCACATCAAGAGGTGCTTGACAGCTGCTTGGTAATACAGTGCTTTGGGGACAACCATCACAGACTAATTACTGCATTTTTCCATGAACAGCCTAACATGGTAACTGTTCCACACACTATAATTTCTTCACGGAAAGCATGCTTTTTATCCTCAAATATCCCGTTGGAATTGGGTCCTTTTCAGTCTTAAGAGGGCTCTGACCTTGAAAAGAATGTTTTGTGCCAATACTGTCCAAACGAGGTATCACGCCTGTATCTTGTACTTTTATTACTATGAAGACAATATGCAATGTATCAATTATTATAACTGTCCTACTAACCTGTTTTGAAACTATTTTTTTTTTAAACGTATTTTTAGTACAGGGTCTACAGGGTCTACAGGGTCTCACTACGGAGACCGGACTCAGTGATTCTCCTGTTTTCAGCCTTTCCTGTGCTGGGATGACAGGCACACACCACCATGCCCAGCCCAGTCTCAACTGTGGTCTCAGCCTGCCTGGGGTGGGGCCGGCATGGCCACTGTGCTCTGCCTAAGCAGACCCTTTAGTCTGCTGAGCTATCTGGCTGGCCCTTGCAACTCTATTTCGTTGGATCTTTTTCTCTTTAAAATTAAGAATGAGGCTCCAGACGCCATCTTTATACAAGTAACTATCAGCACGCCTCACCTGCTGTGACCTGCAGGGCGAGGCAGTACGGCCAGGAGGCAGTTGTACTGACAGGTCTCAAGCATATGCATAAGTCAAACATAGAAATTAATGTCCACAAATCAAAGATCAACACGAACACTCATTCCTTCCATTTTGTTTCAGACAAACAAGGTCTCCGTGTATAGTCGAGGCAGGCTTTAAACTCACTATGTGTAGCCCAGCATTTGATCCCACAGCAACCCACCCGCCTCTGCCTCCCCAGTGCCAAGGTTATCAGCATAGGCTACCACCCCCACCTTCTCCTCCCCTCTTTTGAGGAAGCCTGGGGAATACTTCTCACAGAGTTCTCCTGATACAGAAGGTAAAGCCCTACTGGCTCAATAGAAGCCAATGGAATGTGTTCAGTTCGATCAAGCTCGTAAGAGTGCAGACCTGGATGAGTTAACAGGCAGACCTGAACCCCAAGTCCACACACTAACAGACAGCAAAGGTGGCTCATGTGGGAGAGGGGGACACACTAGGAACTTCAGCCTGCCTTAAGGGCGGGTCTGCAGTGGCATATGGTGCTGGGGATCAAACTGCAGTCCCCTGCGCCTGAGTTTGCCCAAGCAGGCGCTTTAGACAACTGAGCTATCCCGCCAGTCCCCCACCTTACACACACTAGGAACTTGACCATCTTACTCCTAATTATCATTTGTAGCCCTGCTAAACAGGCACCACGATCACCCCAACTTTGGATGAAAAAACTGAGGCCACATAATTGAACCAACCTGTGAACCTCCATCTAATTAAACCCAGAGGTCACACTTTCTTCTCCAATATATAGTGAGCTCCACTTACAAAACCTCTTATGCTAAGTTTTACCCCCTGCTTTTTCCACAGGCTTAAGGTCTTCGATGTGTACAGGTCTTTGAGCCACAATACAACACTACCATTTCTGGCACTTGCTGCAGAACAGGAAGTACACAGTTGTCACAACTTGTGTTTTCCAACACACACCAGTTCTCTAGCGCACTGGCGCATACCCCACAGCAGTGTCATAGCCACCAACCTATCAGTGTTTTTATGGCAATAATTAAGTTTTTGTGCAGTCATCAAGACTTAGACCTGGCTGCCCTCGTCAGAGGGGCCTTGCCAAATGACCTCCACTGACGGCTACAGGATGCCTGAGCCACCAGGCACAGACACCGAGTGGCGGCCCTGCTCTAGCACAGCTCACGGGCCAGGGGCAAGAGGGACCTGACCTCCAGGCTGAAAGGCACTGCAGAGACTGCTTGGCCCAGCCAGGGCTGACGGACCCTGAGGAGAACATGGACAGCCACAGAGGACAGGCCCGCAGGTCCAGCCTACACTGGTAGGGTACCGAGATGACGCCAGCACATCATGTGCAAACCCTCTCCGTGCTCAAGTTTTGTTTTCTTCTCCTGCAGGCACACCAGGCCCTGCAGGGCAAAAGTGTGCGTCCCAATGACGTGGGAGCAAGGGGAGTGATGTGGCCAAGGCCGAGGCCAAGGGAGCCAGCCAGGATGGCTCGGCTGGAGGCCACGGCTCTGGGAGGGGCGGGCCTACAGGGTGGGAGAAGGACCCTCTGGTCTCCGGTCCCACGGGCAGGCACAGAAGCAAGAGCAGGCTGGAGGGCATGGCTCCTGTGCAGCATACATGTTGGTGAGAACGGAGTCAACCAGGCCGGGCACAGCTGTGTGAAACCTCCCTCCTAGGGTGAGTTGTTTTGTTTTTGTTATTACAGCACTGAGACTGAACCCAGGGTATTCATCCTGAAATAGGTTCCTGGCCTATTTTTAAAAAGGATCCTGCTAAGTCACTAAGTTCCCAAGGCTGGGCTCAAACTTGTGCTCCCCCTGCCTTGGCCTCCCAGAGTGCTAGTATTATAGGTGTGCACCACCACATTTGGCTCAACTGTTCTAACAAACTCAAAAACCTGATCATAAATAGTCCAGAGCACTTTGGACTCAGTTTCAGTTATAGGAAAAACCACGTTGGCAAATCTACCACAACGGGGAGAGGGGTGGAAGACGGCTGAGGCCACCTGGGAACAAGTGTCCTAGTGCTCTTAAACAGCTGCAGCCTGCAGCAGCATGCGTGAATGACAGCAGCTGTAGCACTCCAGCTCTGAGGGGCCGGAGAACCAACCTAAAGCCAGCTATATAAACCTTTCTTCCCAGTGTTTACTCAAAGAAAGAGTAACACAGGTCAGCCAGCCACTGGTTCTACGTTACCCCTTCCCTGGAACCCAGGCTTCCCTTTGCTGATAGGAGGAACGGGCAGAAGAGCAGCTTCAGCCAGCATTCAAATCTTGTGGCACCCTCTAGTGTTGTGTTCAGCAACTGCAAAGGACCCCCACAGGGACACACAGTGCTAGCCCAAGGAGATGGGAGATGAGCGAAGGTCACTCGGGCCTGCTGGGGCAAGGCGCTCCTCTCAAGCCTTAGCACCCTGTCAGAAAGCACGCTGGGGCAACTCTCTAGTGGTCTTTAACAACTAAGACAGATTCATTCCATTGTCGTATTTTCTATTGCTCCCAAATCTGATTCTCCACCCGAGACTGACTGACTATAAAAACAATCTCCTCCCTAAAGGTGCTTAAGACCTCCAGCACTGGCAGACACTGCCTCTGTCTGCCTTGAATTAGCAGACTGAAGCTGCTTTGATATGAAGCTGCTTAAAAATAAGAGCCTCAGGCTGGATGTGGTAGCGCTTAGCTGGAATCCCAATTCTCACAGAGGCCGAAGCAGGAGGATTGTAAGTTTGAGCACATGCTGGGCACCTCAGTGACACCTTGTCTAAAAAAATAAGAAAGGGGCTGGAGTGGGCTGGAGATATAGCTCAGTGGCATACATGCCTGCGCAGCAAATGCAAGGTCCTGAATTCAACTCCCAGGACTACAAAAAAAAAAGGAGGGGGGCTGGGGATGGGGATGCAACTCAGTCCCCAAGCCCTGGGTCCAACCTCCTGTACTAGAAAAACAAGACCATGCCACTTGGAAGTGCACAACAGAGTCCTCCCTGCTCAAGGTAACAGGCCCTGCTGGCCTTGTCCCCCATGCGACTCTGCAGATGACAGCTCCCCTTTGGCCAGTCACAGCTGCTGCCTGCTCCTTCCACATCGGTGCTTTGGACCATATGTGAGGTGAGGGACACTATATGGGATGTGGCCCCTGGTCTAAAGGCAGCTCTACCCCACAGCCAGGACACCCATGAGGCTCCGCAGAGCCCAGCTGCTTCACCAGTGTGTGGCTACTCTGTTCCACCGGGCAAAGAGCCATTGGAAAATCTTAAAATTAACCTAAATTCCCTAAAACTTGAAGTTCTCGACATTTTGCGAATTTGAAGTTCCATTTCAAATTAAGTGACTGAAAAACATTCAGATTAAGTGTTCTCTTGTCTAAGACTTTTGCAATGCAAATACCCCAGAACTCTGAAGCCGTCCTGTAACATGCTGTCCTGGAGCCTCTTCCTGGACTGCCCAGCATGTTCCAAAGCTAATCGGCACACTCCTTGGCCACCGAGAGGACAAAGACCAGCCCAACTCCTCCAGAGGCTGAGGCACAAAAGATAGTAAGTTCTGGGCAGCTCAGTGAAGCCTGTCTTAATAAATTTTAAAAGGGTAGTTCAGTGGGATAACATCTGACTAACATGAGCAAGGCCAGGTCAATTCTTAGTGCTATGTTTTCTTTTTTTTTAATAAATAAAAAACTTGTGGGGGGGCAGTACTGGGGATCGAATTTGGGACCTAGTGCTTACCAGGTTGGCATTTATGCTGTTGAGCTAGCTTCCTGTCCCATAAAAACAAGTATTAAGAAGCCAAAAAAAAGACACCAAAACATGAATTTCTGTTGAGTCAACACCTACAGTTACCAAAGTGAACTGTCACAACAGAGTGATTCTACAGTTAAATCTCACAAGCCAGGACTTGTAGACAAGCTGGAGTGAGCGCAGGTCTCCAGGATCACTCTGGCAGCACGAATCATCACTTCCACTCACTACTTTACCCCTAGCCAAAGTCCAATAGGCAGAGTAATTATGGAGCCAAGACAACAAAGTGAGGAGAGGGGCCCCCAAAGCAGAGAAGGGCCGGCTACCCTGGGCTGTCGCAGTGTCCCAGAGCCCTGCTGTGGTCCTGTCTCCTGCCGCTTCTCTACGCAGAAACACTCAGGGCTGACTTAGTAACAACCTTTCTTCCAGACACCGCCTCCTGACCACCAGCCCTGTACTCCGAGCCCCCAGAGCGGCGGTGAGCTCACAGGGACACAAGGCTATGCCCTCCTGCCTCCATTCATCTCTAGCAAGAGCTAATGCAGCAACCTAGAACAAGGGCCACACTGGCAAGAGCCACCAAAGTGACTTGGGAGCTCTCACTTTTGTAACATAAAAGGCTAAATTCAAATTTAATTTCTTCACAAAATTTGTGCACACACAGAAAAACCAAACTGCTTAATATACTTTCATCTCAAGACTTTATTCAGAGCTCAGAAGTGTTGCCCAATGATTTAACACAAATGAACTCTAAACTCTCTGTAGTACTGAGGTTATGCGCTTGGATGTCTGTGTGAGCCAAGATCATGGTCACATATATTTTCAGGCAGCCACATATGTTCTCCTAGCCAGAAGGGTGCCACATGCCTACAGGAGGCTGAGGCAGGAGGATCTCCAGGTCCAGCCCCACCCAGGCAACTTAGCAATTTAGTGTTGCAAAACAAATTTGGGCCAAAGGCAGAGATCCCCAGTGCCAAGTCTGTTTTCCTAAAATGAGGACTCAGAGGTCACATTACCATATATAACCCACACCACTGCAAGGTGCGCAGCGCTGGCTGGTTTTTGGGGCTCAGTCACTGGCTGGGAGCAGAGTCTGCGCTCCTCTGCCTCCTGTCCCAAATGCTCTCCCACGGCCTCCTGCCTGTTATCACTGAGCACGGACACAGGCTGATCTGCTGGCTGCCTGATCAAGGAGGGTACAGCAAAGTGGCCTGAACATACTGCAACCACAGGCGACAGACTAGGGCAGGGCCCCACAAGATAGGCGCAAGGACACTCGCAAAACACATGAGCCAGCTAAACAGCAAGCTCAGGGCAGGGCTGCACCTCCCTAACTCAGGCAAAACAGTCGATGCCATGCTATCTGCACTTTAAGGGGTCTGGCAGAAAGCCTGAGAACCCTGCCCGCGGGGGACAGCCAGTACCTGTGTGACGTAAACCACCAGACCAAGGAGCAGCCCTAGGGCCAGATGTGGTGGCGCATACCTGTAATCCCAGCACTCAGCAGGCTGAAGTAGCGGGGGTAGGGGGTGTGTGTGTGGGGCGGGGGGATTGCCATGAGTTCTAGGCCAGCCTGGACTACAGAGATACTGGCTCTTTCTCCTTTGTGTGTGTGCAGGAGGGTGACAGAGCGAGAACACTGACTCTGCACTGCTCTGAATCTCCATCCCTTTCCTAAACTTTGAGACGGTGCCACAAAGTTGCTAAGTCACCCATGCTAGGCTCCACCCAACCCACCATCTTCCTGCCTAACTCCTGAAGAGTACTGGGACCACAGGAGGGTGCAACCACACCTGACTTCAAACTCACTAGATTTTAATGTACACATTAAAAGGGGCAGTGGGGCTGGGCAGATAGCTCAGCAGTCTAAGCGCCTGCCTGGCAAGCACAAGGACCCAGGTTCTATCCCTGGTACTGCATGTCATGCCAGCCCCGTAACACTGGGCATGTTGTATTGGCCCCAAAGCCAGGTGTGGTGGCACATGCCTGTAATCCCAGCACTGGGGAGTCTGAGACAGGAGGATCACTAGAAGTCTAAGTGACGTAGTGAGATTCTGTACCAAATCAATCAATCAATCAATCAATCAATCAATCACTGTTTCAAGATTGTGTATCTCAAAATAACAATGGTTGGTTGCCCTGTTATTTCATTTTAAAACAACCCCAGAAAACAAAGATTCAAAATAACTTCTATAAGGAATGCCTCAAAAAAGTATCTGTCATCCTACCAACACCAGAAGAAGGTGTCTGGTTGCTGGTGAAACTGCCCACCTCAAAAAGTGTTCAATCTCAGCTCACTGCTGCACCCACACCAGACCGCCACCAATGGTGAGCCGGAGCGCAGTGCACGCGGGGCCAGGGGCCGGAGTGCAGTGCACGCGGGGCCAGCCGCAGAACTCTCAGCAGACACAGACCCGCAGGCTTGGCTGCTGCTCGGGCGCGGATGAGCACGGAGCCTGCTGTAGCCCATCCCCTGCCTCGCCCTGAACAGCTTATGCATCATGCTGCTCTGCCTTCTTACCATTAATGAAGATGTGAGCTTTGGGCTGAACGTTTGTACTTTTCCTTTTTCTGTCAAGAGCCGACCGTGGTGTCCTAAAACTAAGTAAAATCCATCTATGCAACCCAGAAGTTATTAAAAAAGAAAAATGCTACATGATTCACAAGTGCTTTCTTAACAGTTTAAGAAATAAAAAAGCAGCAGTACAAAGTAAATACAAACGGACCATCGCACCAAAGGTATACAGCAGCTGTAACACAGGACAGGTTTGTTATACAGTAAAACAGTGGCACAGGATTGCTTGAACAAGAGGCAAGAAAGAGAAAGGGAATTTATAAATAGAAAAGAACTTGTAATGGAGATGGATTTTTCTTTTCCTTTTCTTAATGTAAATGTACAATACCCCTCTCCTCCCACTTGGTTGCTTCAATGTTTCGCATTAAACAATGTCTAAGACACAGGTGCTCTTTAGCCATTCCAATTCATGTCCCAGAGATCTGTCACTATGGGCACCACCTGCCACCACCGACTGAGCCCCACCTGCCTCACCACCTGCCCACTCGGCAGCTGCTGAGCTCTGTGCTCAGCCTGTACCTGGTTCACTGTACCTGCAATCTGTATGGCTACGGGGTCCTCTGATACTGGAACAAGCCCTTCTTTGACTTCAACCTGCTTTTCAGAGACCAAGGGAGATGGGGCAGGAGGGGAACACTTAGTTTCCACATATGCCACGGATGAGGAGGAAGAGGGCTTAGCATCATGAAAGAGGCTGGCCCAGGACTTGGCGGGCTGGCTAACGGGAATGGGCATGGAGCCGGCGCTGTTGGCAGGAGGGGATGCGCGTTCCAGCTTTGCTGCGTCCAACTCTATGCTCTCCACAGCATGCAGCTCCCCATTGGCAGCTGTGCCCACACCCGAGGATTCAAGTAATTGTCCGTTGGCAATGCCAAGGTTCTCAGTAGTATCGGTAGCAGCGCAGGGTGGAGCCACAGCTGTCCTTAGCAGGTGCTCTGCAGAGAAGCAGGCTTGCTCACTAAAATCAGTCCCGCGACAGCCCTCAGGCTGCCCCACGGTCCTCGAAGTGCTGTCAAGAGCTCTGGGGAAAGGACCGTCAGGCACAGTGTCACTGATAAAGTCCGTGGGGTTCTGAGGGCTGTCACAAGTCCTAGGCGAAAGTGGTGGGAGCACGTCTCCCATAAACTCTGCATCCTCAGCACCCACCCCGCTGGGGCCTGCTGAGTTGCCATGGCCATTGACCAGCGCTTCTGAGGAGGTACTCTCGTTGCCCCCGTCCTTCAGGTAACTGTAGTACCCCGGCGGCCGCTTCTTCTTCCTTTTGCGCTCCCTCTGTCCCAGGTCACCTGGGCCATTGGTGCTCTCCAGAGCCTCAGCCTCAGCATGTGAGCTGTGGGCCAGGGCTGGGCCCGCGTATGAGCGGTCGAGGGGGCTGGAGTTCACCTCCTGGTCTAGTCCATCAGGGGTCTTCTTGGAAGCTGTACAACCAAGAATGAATTCAGGGGCCTGAGGGTTCAGTGTGCTTGAAATACTGTAGCTGGGCGTTCTCGGCAGAGTGTCACTGGATTCAATTACTTCAATAACACCAAACTCAATTCTCTGATACTCTTGTCCTATTTAGAAAGAAAAAAGTTAGCAAATCTCCCACTAAGACAGCAATCTACAGACTGTAAAAGTACAAATTGTCACTTTCATCTGAAAACTGAAAAAGGACTATTTTCTTAATAAAATATTTTATTTTTATGCTGCATAATTTGCTAAAAATAAGTAATCTCTATAAAATATTTAATTAGGGATGTTAAAAACAGAAGCCTGTCCTCTTTAACTCTTTCTGGGGAATTAACAAAAATTTTCAGAAGACAAACTGAAATAAATCTGTCCTAATTAAAACCCCACTGTTCAGGGGAAGCAGACTGGGGGAAAGCACATGTTCACCTGGGTTCAATGAGGGCGCACACGGCACTCACAACTCTACTACAAGGCTTATTTTATGCTTATGAAAACAATATGCATCTTGGACAACTAAGCTTTATAAAGGTCATGGCTGAAGGACACAGAACTCGGGGCTGGACGGTTCTCTCGCTAGCACAACCTAAGTGTTGTGGCGCGAATGACCTGGAAGCCTGCGCAGACGAGGGCTGCACAGACCGTCCTAAGACAGCGCTGGAAGCAGCCCTCCCACTGCCAGTATGAGCAGCTTCTAAATGATTTCACACGGACTCGCTCATGAGTAGTGAAGACACTTCCCAAATACTGAAAGATAAATGTGGACTCTAAACATTTAAAAACTTCTCAGGAAATTTTCAGTATTTCTTCACGGTGAACAAAATCTAAGTATTTCATCCGTGCTAGCATGTATATTTTTGTCATAGTTCACATCTTCTAAATAAGACAATAGCAGAATCAGTTGTGTTTCTTCAAAAGACTTGGAACAATGTGCTATTTCACATTTGATGAAGAGGTTCTAGGTTTGAAGTTAACAAAGGGACATGTGCTTTGGGATTCATTTTTAGTGATTAACCAAAGATACCTTTAGGTGTAACGTAAGGGTCTAATCTTTTTTTTTTCAGGCACACCTTCTAAGTAAAGAATCACACTGCTGGGGCCAGTGAGGTAGGTCAGCGGTCTAAAGCACCTACTTAGGCAGCTGCAGGGCACGGTGGTCCAATCCCGGGCACCACATGCCGTGCCAGCCCTGCCCTGAGAGCTGGCAAAGAAAAAGAATCATACTGCTAAAGAATGGCCCTCTAAGGGCCAGGGAGATGGCGTGGTAGAGTAAGTGCTTCCCTGGCAAGCGCAAGGGCCCAAGTTTAATTCCCCAGTTCCACCAAAAAAAAAAAAAAAAAAAAAAAGAATGACCTTCTACTGTGGAGACCTTAATTCACTGTCCCTTGAAAGGGCCTTTAGAAGCTTTTTTTGGGGGGGAGGCACCAGTTATGTGGCACCAGTGGTCAGGAGGAGGACAGGGGACAAAACCCAAGTCTCTTGAGTCTTCATTCATTTGGACTTCACAGCTGGAACAAGAGGTCTGATGTCGTCAACAAGCGTTCTTAGAAGAGGCTAGAGGATGATGACACTGAGTAGCAAGGTGTAATCACCACGTGCTGCCACCAAAAGGGTACTGAGGGGCCGGGCAGATGTCTCAGTAAAGTAAGTGCTTCCCTGGCTTATTATAGCCAGGGATAGCCCAAGGGCCCGAGTTCAACCCCCGGTTCCACAAAAAAAAAAAAAAAAGGATACTGACTCCTCCGGACACTATTTTTTGTTTTCTTACTTCTAAAAGAATCACCAAAGAAAAGCTAACTTGTCAGTTACTACAGATACTCCTTGTTAACAACTTATTTAACAACCATTTGCTAACCTGACCGCCTTTTGGTATAGTTGTGCACATTTTGCTTATACAGCCTCAGTGACTTTTTTGTGCAGCCACACCCTGTTTATACAGCACTGCAACTTTTGCTGATTCTACTGTCCATACAGTTCCATGTTTTAGATTATAGTGCTGTACATAAGAGTTACGCAGCAGCTGGGAAGACAGCTCAGTGGAATAAGTGCTCGCCTGGCAAGCACAAGTTTCTGAGTTCGAACCCTGGTACTGCCAAAAATAAACAAAGTTATGCAAAGTAAAGCAAAGTCATCAAGTTGGCATTTCCTGTTTCTTTGTTCTGAATGTTGCAATGTACATATTATGTACAAGCACTCAGTTCGTGACCAATTCATTCAGTGACCTGGCAACAGGAGCAGAGCTTTGGTGATTAAGCGATACTGGAGTGCCTGTACCACCAGGGCAGCTGTCCGTCTTCTCCAGGCACTCCTAGTCCCTGTGTCTGGAGCTGGCCACCACCTGGGCTGAAATGAATGGCCTAAGAAGTGCTGGGGGTTGGGGTTGCCTCTGGGACCAGGGTACACTGGGAAATCACATTAAGAATGAGCATGCAATGTGCTGGGCAGCTTGTGAAGACAGATGACTGCCAACAGAGACAGGGCTTCCAGTCTCAATTCCCAATCTTATCTAGGGCATAAAATGTTTAGGAAGTGAAGAGACACAAACAAAACTTTTTTGCTCTGTCACAGCCACTTCCAAAGCATTTACCCAACACAGTGGGTACACTATTAGAAGGCAGATTCCTAGCCAGGACAGGCCCTCTCTTACAAAGAACGCTTGAAATGGACACACATGCACTGTAGGCTGGGAACTTGATAGCCCAACTGGGAGGCCAGAGCAATGAAGGAAGCCTACAACACAGCTTTCTTTGGTTGTGGTTTTCTTGTTTTGATAAACGGTCTCACTATCTATTTAGAATACTGGCCTTGCTCTTGCAGCAATCCTCCTGCCTCAGACTCCCACACCCTAGAATTACAGGTGTGCACCGCCACACCTGGCAAATGTGTCTAAACAGCCAGCTAGGTCCTGTTGACAGTAGTTTTCTTTGGGAAAGGGAATCAACTAAGCTAAAGTAGCACCCTAGGGCAGCATTTCTCAAAGGGTGCTCACTGCAATATACACAGCAGTGGCCTGAGTGGCAGGTGGGAAACTGAGATTAATTAGTAAGGCAAGATCTTTGCTTGGGAAGTTTATTTTTACTAAGTGACAGAGGAAGCCAGGGAGATGGCTCAGAAGAATTAAGTGCTTCCCTGGCAAGCGCAAGGGTCTGGGTTCAATCCCTGGTTCCAACAAAAAACAAAACAAAACAAAACAAAACAAAACAAAACAAAACACCCTAAGTGACAGGATAACAATGCAAAAGATGGGTGAGATAAAGCCATGAACATCTTTATAAAATAATTCTTCTGAGGGCCAGCCAAAAGTCCAGCAGATTAAAGGGCCAGGGATTCAGTCCCCGGGCCTGCCAAGCAGGCCCTGCCCCAGGGGCACCCTGAGACAGCAACTGAGACTGGGCGTGGTGGCCCACACCTGTGATCCTAGCTCCTGGGAGGCTGTAAACAGGCAGATCACTATGTGTCTGATGCAGTAGTGAGACCCTGAACATCTTGTAGACCCTTCCCTAAAAATACAAAAAAAAAAAAATCTGGGCACAGGAAAAGATAACCGATTTTAATCAGAAGCTAGAGGTCAGTGGAACCTAAAAGATAAGTGGATGAGACAGGGTAAGAATAAGCTTTCAGAACTGTCTAAAAAAGGGAGATGTACAAAGGTGGACGCCATAGTGAATTCCCCTTGCAGCAGCCTGCAGTAGCTGGTGCTGGTGGGCTATGGCACAACAAAGCATTTTACAGCATCCATGCAACAAATGCACTGAGGGCTCACAAGACTCTGGATACACACGGTGCAGCAGACAGACAAACAGACATCAGAAGCATGGCTGGATACAGTGTAAGACAAGGCAGTCACGATCAGACATTGAGTGGCAAGGTGCTGTGAGAGAGACAAAGGAACTAAAACACAGTGGGGTGAACCACAGAGGCTTCAGAGCAATGGTCTTCTGGTGGGCCTGTCACTGAGCATGCCGGCAGGCAACAGCCTCAGCTGCTTTCAACAGAGTAAAAGATGGACTATGGCAGAAGAGAACAGAAGATGGAGAAAGAGTCAAGAAGCAGTGATTGAAAAGGGACATAGCCTGGAAGGAGGGAAGAATGAGGGTGGAGATACAACACCCAGGACTAGGAATCACAAAGAAGGAAGTCCCAGGTAATGAAGGCTGTGGGACACCTGCAAGCACACAAGAGTGTGGCCTATGTCCAAGTGCATAGCTCAGAAGATAGCAGGGACCTGCACAGGTGCAGGAGGGGGCCAGGGCTGGACCTCAACTGGGGAAGAGGCAGCTGGGAGGCTGCATGGCTGGCTGCAGGACCCCAGAGCTTCATTTACTGTAACAGTTATCCTAAGCTGCTGTGAAATCTGCTGTCTGTTATGTTCTCCCATAGTACTGCTTCTTATAAAACTGATGTTACTAAAACAAAACAAACTGATCCTACTGTACAAAAAAGGTTTAATCTCTTTAAGCTTATATCCAAACCTAAACTGTAAATAAACTCCTCCCAAGTCTGACCACACAAAACTCAGCTTCCAAGTCCCAGGCTTCCCCAGAAGACATTTCCCCCCAGCTACTCTGCAGCCCACAAGGGCCCTTCCTATAAGCCAGACTGCCCGGGCACGTCAGTGCTGGAGTGCACATAGCACACCAATGGCTATGCCTCAATACGCACCAGCCAGCCCAGCAGTCCACCCAGCCCAGGGGAGTCACCTGAATTCCCCAGAGGCCTGTGACAGATGGGATGAGAGTGTAAGCTTTTTGGCAGACGAGGGCAGTTCAGCTTGTCCTGAGGGCAGGGCTAGCACAGCATGTGGTGCCAGGGATCGAACTACAGTTCCTTGCACCTGCCTAGTTTGCCTACACAGGTGCTTTAGACCGTTAAGCTATCTCGCCAGACTAGAGTGTAAACTGTGAAAAGGAGAGCCCTCAGCTGCTCAGGTGCAAGGAGCACGCAGCTCCAGGCTAGCCATCCTGGGCCCAGGCAGTGCAGCAACAAGATAGCCCCTTCAGAGCGTGCACTCGTGGCCATGTCAAGGGCGGCAAGTGACATACCTATAGCACTGAGAACTGCTAAGAAAGAACAATTTGCTGAATCTCACTGCCTGACACTTTCGAGGTAGAGAGCAAACCCAACAGAGTGCTCCAGAGATTAAATCTACTACAGTGTACTGCAAGAACTCCAAGCTGGAAGGAAATGCTTTCAAAATCTGAGCCAAGAGAAAGCCATCTGTTGGCAGCCTGCCCACCCAGCAGCTCTCAGTGAGGGAGGAAGAGAGACCAGCTTACCATCAGGCAGTTCGTCCGCAGCCTGAGTGCCACACAGAGCTGTTCCGCTGTACGGAGGGAGCTGCACAGGGAATTGGAAAACACATTTCAATACAACAGAACATTAACACACAACATGTGCTACTGCATCTAGATGACTCTGCATTAAAACTCAACTCAAGCAGCTTTTTCTCAGGACATTTCTGTTACCAGAATGGCACGCAGAGAGTCAGGAAACAGCATTATCTTCATTACCCTGAGGGGATAACCACTAAAGGACTGCAGTCCAACATTCACCATTGTTACACAGGTTGAAAATAAGGCTAAGGAAATAACCTCCATAGGTGCAAGAATCAGTTCCTTCTCGGCTGCTGTGGTGGAGCCGACTCTGGTCTGCCCACTAGTGGCCACCTGCACTTCCTGTTCACCATCAGGGCCTGGCAGGTCAGAAGGGAGAGCCCTCCAGGAGAAGAGGTCTCAGAACTGAGACTCCCTATCCAACACCATGTCCTAAAATAACGGAATTAATACTTAACATCACAGTTCTGGTTTGGAAGAGAGAAGACAAATAGCACAAGTCTGGCTTCTTTGTAAAAAGCGGAAGTTCTGTGAAATTCTCAAATACTTCTCCCTCCTAGCCATTTCATATTTATTCAAGAGCTGAGAATACCTGATGTGGACATATTTGGCATGAGAAAAGAGATAAAGTAAACAGAAAATTTTTGCTATCTGAAGGCAACAAAAACAGCACAACACCTTGGGGTAGCATTTCTCCAGGCCAGGCAATTCTCAAGCCTGCTGAGGCTTAGAAACTACTGTTTTATGAACTTCCAGCAAGACACTGCAATCATTATAAATATAAGAGCTTATCTTCCCAATAACCCCTTAAATTTTCCTGAGAACTAAAGCAAACCAGAAGCTAAGAAAAACAAGAACAGTAATTGGCAAAGAACCCAGGCCTCAGTACTTGGAGCTACACGTTTCTCCCACCAGGGGACAGTCCACATAGGAGGGACACTGGATCACAGGGCTGTTGACCGTGGTTTCCACCCCACCTGGCTGGCAGCGTGGCCCTCACAGCGCAAACCAAAGCAGCAAGGGCAGCACCTGCGAGGGCAGCATCATAGGTGTCTGGGGAGCACAATGCACAACTCGTGCTGGCACTAGAAAGCCTGTGCTTCCAGTCACAACACTCTGGGCCTTAGAGATAGACATCTATTCTGAGGCACAAAAAAGGGGCTGAGGGGCTGAGGAGATAGCTCAGTGTAATAAGCACTTCCCTGGCAAGTGCAAGGGCTGGAGTTCAATCCCCAGTTACACACACACACACACACACACACACACACAAAGGGTCTGAATGGACTCTGCTTACACAGAAATCATTGTAACATCAAGAAACACTCTTAATTTAAAAAAAAAATCAGACACCCTAAATTTAAAGGCCTGATCCAAAACTGGGCATCTGAGATGAATCCACACTTCTCAGATGAAGAGATATAAAGGGCAAATGAATACATGAAAAAGTGCTCAATATCACCGGTCATTTGAGAAATATAAGTTAAAACAACACTGAGATTCCATCTCATCCCAGAAAGAATGGCTGTTATCAAGAAATGAACAGGACCAGCCAGGTAGCTCAGTGGATTAAAGCACCTACTTAGGCAGATGCAAGGGCCAGGATCCCCAGCCTGCTGTGCCAGCCCTGCCCCTGGGGTGTGCTGAGATGTGCCTGATCCTGGGCAAGGTGGCACATGCCTATAACCCCAGTACTTGAGAGGCTGAAAAACAGGAAGGTTATGGTTAACCTGCCTCAGGCATTTCATTACAGCAATGAAAAACTAACCAGACAACACTGACCAGAAATGCAGACCCAGGATACGGCAGCACCCATGCTGAGCCACAGACACCACTGCTGCTGAATTCAACACCTCAGGAAGGAGGGGTCCTGCTCCCACAGTTACCAGACAGAAGAAGCCAATGTTCAAGGGACGATGGTGTGTCTGAATTTCCTTCTGGAGCTGGTACTGTTTCACCCTGCACTGAAAGGATCCCACAGCCAGAGAAATAGCTCAGTGGAATAAGTGTGCCTGGCAAGCACAAGTTCCTGAGTTCAGTCCCTGGTACCACCAAAAAATAAAAATAAAGGACCCTATGAACCAAGGCTCCCTACCTTGTTTTTCTTTTTTTTTTTTTTTTCAGTACTGGGGATCAAACTCCAGACCCTGTGCATGCCAGGCAGACACTTAGGCCGCTGAGCTGTCTCCCCAGCCCCTTTTGTTCTGTTTTGAGGCAGGGTCTTTTTATATGTTCCAGGCTGGCCTTGGAATTACTATGTACCCCAAGCTGGCCCCAAATTCAAGGCAATCCTTTTGCCTCAGCCTCCCAAGTTCTGGGGTTACAGGCGTGCTTCACATGCCTACTAGGACTTCCTACTCTTGAAATCCCCCTTGAACGCCAAATTGAGATCTGTCTTAACTGCAGTCTTAATTAACCCCTGTATACATGGGCACATGCACACTTTCTCAGCACAGCCAGACACCTACAGGATGTGTGTACTATATTCCCTTGCATTTATTTATCCATTTACAAATAGCTGAGATATGTGTGCCTTCAGTAGAGAGTCTGGGTATTTTGGAATACTGAGCATTTCCTCCTTAAGTATCAATGGCGATATCATTAGCTGAGGCCCCACATACTTATTAAATAAGTTGACCGCACCTTTTTGCATTGGAGAAATTCATTTTTAAATTACCCTGGCTTATACACTACACCACAGCTCTAGAAAAGGTATCAGTTGCCTTTAAAAATTAATACTTAGGAGCGAGGGAGATAGCTCAGTAGCATAAGTGCTCGCCTGGCAAGCGCAGGGTCCTGAGTTCAATCCCTGGTACTGGAAAAATAAAATCATACCAATATTTAAGAATGTGTACAGAAATTGCCTAATTTTGTTTTAATTGTTACATTACTGGCTAGCCTTCCTTGCCAGGGGCAAGTTTTCTAACACAAAAACTAAAACACAAAAAGCTCTGAGCTGCCAGGAGCAAGGCTTCTGCAGGAATGCAGAACGCTTTTGTATTCTAACATCCTATCTTTCTTAATTCTGGGTGAATAGTTCTTGGCTTCATGCAGGAAAATAAATGCCTTATCAAATTCCCAATAGCAAAAAAAGTACATAAATAGGGCTAGATCAGTGATGGCAAACCCTGTAGTTTTCAAAGAGATAAACAGCCCATTGCACACAGGTGCCACAGGTGCCCACAGCTGGGCTGGATTCTGCATGCCACAAGGAGAAACCCTGCATGTGGAGCCTGGGGCCAGCGGAGGAGACACAAGGCCTTGCAAACAACTGGTGACGCAGTGAAGTGCAAAACCACGACTCACCCATAGCCCCAACCCAGCCAGGCACCCCTAGGAAATACACACCCCTGAAAGAGATACCCAAATTACAATACTAAGAACTCAATCCAATTATGCTAGTCTGTTTGCCTTTGGGGAACAGATATTTGCTGTGCCCCCTCAAACTTCAATGCATGCTCAAAACACAAGAAAAAATTTAGGCATGTTGGTTTCTTTCGCTAGGTACGCGCACGCGCACACACACACACACACACACACACACACACAATCCTCACTGTAGTTCAAGTCAGCCTTGAAACCACTATGCATAGTCCAGGCTGGCCTCAAACTTGGGGTGAAATTCCTGCTTCCTGCCTCAGCTTCCCAAGAGCTGGGATGCAGGTGTATACCACCTTGACCAGCTATACTAAGATTTCTAAACTAGAAATGATTTATTGGTGACTACCACTAGTTCTCCAAATAAAAGGCTTGGTCTGACTTTACATGCACCATTCATATCTACTGTCCTGACTTGTCACAATCCAGGTATCAGACGAGATGTCAGCTGACTCCCTAACATCTCTGTAAAGTCAATAAGCAGACTCCATTTTCAAATGGGGTAGGGTCAGAAATACAGCTCAGGGGTGCAGTGCCCGACTGGCAAGCATGAGTCCTGAGTTTGATTCCCAGTACCCAAAAACAAAAGAATGAAAACTGAAATGGGGGGAAAGGCACAAGAGGAAAGAGGCAAGAAGAAGTGAGAGAAAACACACAGGAAGCTAGTGAGATGGTAGAGGGGTGACTTCAGGTCTTCGGACTACAAACATAGTGCATTTCTACCTTCCTATCAGATAAAAATCCAAGGGCTGGGCTTGGAGATAGCTCAGGAGATTAAGGGCTTGCCTGACAAGCACAAGGTCAATTCCCAGTACCGAAAAGAGAGAGAGAGAGAGAGAGAGAGAGAGAGAGAGAGAGAGAGAGAGAATGATGAATGAATATCCAGCAGGTCTTGAGATCTTTTAAACCCTTAATCACAAAGAAGAGTGTACTTTCGCCGTTTCTGGAAAGTGCTGCCACACACTCCCATGATTCAAAGGATCACAATACCCAATTGAACTCTTACCTTTTCCTGCCCAGACTCCCAGATCCCTTAACATAACAGTAACAATAGTTACAAGAGATGGCAATGACAATGAACTAAATGTATTCATTTTCCATAGACTTTAGCCCCACACAGTAGCTCAGTGGGACCCCCAGGCCTAGCCTCTGATCCAACTCCAAGGGTGAGCTCCCCCTGCTCATTTTGCCTAGTACAAAAACTTTTCTTTTTTGGCGGAACTGGGGGTTGAACTCAGGCACTTGTGCCTGGCAAACACTTATTCTACTGAGCCATCTCACTGCCCCCTACAGAAACTATTAAAAAGCTCCTTACGCACCATTAAAAGTTAACTAGGAGCCTGCAATCCCAGTGCTTGGGAGGCTAAGGCAGGAAAATAGCTCAAAATTTGAAGCCAGCCTGGCTAAAACGTGAGTTCAAGGCTACCCTGAACTGCATAGTGAAACCCTACCGTAAAAAAACAAAGCCTAGGGCCAGTGAGATGGCTCACTAGAATAAACGCTTCACTGGCCAAGTGCAAGGGTCTGAGTTCAATCCCCATTTCTGCCAAAAAAAAAAAAAAAAAAAAAAAGACAAAGCCTGAGTGTTAGTGGCACATGCCTTTTATCACAGCACCAAGTTTGGGAAGCTGAAGCAGGAGGGTTGTAAGTTTGAGTACTGCCTTGGTAACAGCATAACACTGTCTCAAAAAGAAAGTTGGGCAGGGACTCAGTGGTAGAATACTTGCCTACATGCACAAACTCCTAGGTTTCAAAAAACATTAAGATTTTACTGAATACACACTTTTCTCTTTTCCCCCTTTTTGCATTTTCAATAGTTTCACAGCTGAAATATGAAGTTGAGCAGGGCATGATGGCCCATGACTATAATTCTAGCCTTCAAAGGCAGAGATAAGAGGTTTGCCACAAGTTCATGGCCAGCATGAACCAGGGAGTAAGATCCTGTCTGAAAAAGAAAAAGGGGGGAGGTTCAAGTTGCACTGGCTCGAACCCAGATACAGCTGCCAAACAAGAAATGCCCTGAAGGCATGTTTAGGTCTCCCCCGCAAAAAAAAAATCCTTCTGCAAAAAGAAAAAGGGGGGCCGGGGAGGTGGCTCAGCAGAATAAGCACTGGCCTGGCAAGCGCAAGGGCCTGAGTTCAATCCCCGGTTCAGCCAAAAAGTAAAAAAAATAAAATAAAGAAAAAGAAAAAGGACAACAAAAGAAATATACATTGGAAAAATGTCCCAGGTAAGTTTTTTTTGTTTTGTTTTTTGTGGGGTTTTTCTGTATTTTAGGGAAGGGTCTACAGGGTGTTCAGGGTCTCACTACTAGATCGGACTCATAGTGATCTACCTGTTTACAGCCTCCCAAGAGCTGGGATTATAGGAGCAGGCTACCACGCCCAGTCTTGTAAGTTTTTAATTTAGCTAAAAGCAAATGTTCTGAAAGAGCTGGGGTAGGGGTGTGGCACCCCTGCCAGTGTCCCCAAGACTTGGGATTCCAGGCCCAGCACTGCAAGAGGAGAAACCTAAATGAATAACAAAATGATGTTTAGGAAAACTCATGATCTTGATGGCACTAACTGTTCTACAAACTTGCAATTGAAGTCTAATTCCCTGCAAATGTCACTAAGGGTTTTCACATGGGTGTGCTGATCACATATTCATGACAGACAAGGAAAGACCTTTGTGCTCAAGGGTCTGCAAAGCAGGTGAGTGCTCCCAGAGGCCAAGCTAGCACCAGGCCACAGACACGTGTGTGAGCTCAGAATAGGCACCAGAGCCAGCAGGAACAGCGACGCCGCATCCTCTGACAGGGCTGGAGGGACCCCAGACAACATGCTAGGGTCACAGGGAAGTGGAGCAGGCGCCACACTCGCTCACTCTTGCACACACACACACACGCATGCACACACACACCAGGGCCTCTACTTTACCTGTGTCACACACTAAAAAAATTTTATTCTTTCAAGAAAGGGAAATTTCTAAATGATATTTTTTTGAAAACTAAAAATACAGAAAAATCAATACATCTGACTTTAAAGTTAAAAATGTAAGGGCCAGCAAGATAGCTCAGTGGACAAAGCACCTGCTTCGGCAAGTGCAGGGACCAGGGTTCAATCCCCAGTGCCACATGTGCACTGAGCCAGCAAATGAGTCCAGGCATGGTACCACATGCCTGTAATATCAGCATTGGGGAGGCTGAAAACAGGAGGAGTCCAAGCCATGTAGTAAGAACCTGTACCAAATACATAAATGAAAAAATAAGGTTAAAGTTCTATTCCCTTTGACCAGCAAAACACCTACTATAGTGCAGCAAATATAAAGTTTAAGAGCCCTCATGCTAAAAATAACTATAATAGGTGCTGGGGAGATAGCTCAGTAGAATAAGTGCTTGCCTGGCAAGCGCGAGGCCCTGAGTTCAATTCCCGGTACCAAAAAGGAAAGAATAACAAATTTACAAGCAGGAAGAAAATAACAGTTCAAAATAAATACAAGAGTATGACTACAGTGTATCATCTAGCTGGCCTTTTCTTGATTCAGAGTCCTGCTATGCAGTTCAGATTTGCAGTAATCCTCCTGTGTCAGTCTCTCCAGCACTGGGATTACAGAGTGCATCACCATGCACGGTTTTGGGGCTGGCATGGCATGCAGTCCCAGGAATCAAACCCAGGCCCTTCAGCTTATCAGGCAAGCGCCACTGCAGAGCTATCCTCCCAGCCTCTTAGCTGGCCTTTTAAAGGTATGAGTCTCCCGGTGGTCCTTGGTCTGGTCTGGTCCAGTCCAGTCTGAGTAGTGCAAGATGAACACCACAGCCAGGAGCATACCCACAGATGTGGTGGAGCTGTGCACTCTGGGAAGAAGGGGGTGAGGTGGCAGAGCTAACACTGGCATCCATTGTGTCAATGAGGAGCTAATTTATCTTTTAAAAGTGTAAGGCAATTAGGGTACTAGCTGATAGGTTCAGGGCATTTCTAGATCAGGTCCTGTACTTTTCTACATATCAGAATTCTTCATTAAAAAAAAATTTAGCAAGTTAAATGGAAGCATAACCATAAATACATCTCCTGTATTCACTGAAAGTTTTGTCTTACCTCAACTGAAGAGCGAGGGGTCACAAAGAACTGATTGAATTCATCAGGGCTAAAATCTCCAAAAACATACTGGAAAAAAAAAAAAAAAAAAGAGTCATTCATCACATAAAATAAACAAATCATTCATGTTCCCCAAAACACTATGCATTGTAACAACCCTATGAAGCACTCAGGCCAGGAACTCCAGAGTCTTTTCTTGATCAAACCCCAAGGCACTCCACTGACATATGTAAGGGTAGTACTGTACAATCAGAAAAACAAAACACCCTTCTCCATAAATTGTGGGAGAACACTCTGAAACTTACAAAGTTTATTTTAAAATGTCAGTTGTTGTAACAAGCCTGTAAGCCCTACATGGGAGAGAAAGGGGCTGACCCTTAGGGCTACTTCCTTTCAGTCTTCCCTGCCAAAGCAACAGGCTGAGGAAAGGCAGAAAACAAGGCACGGACAGGAAGCCGGGGAAATGCAAGAGGGGAGCTCAGCATTCAGATTAATGCTCTTTAAATATAGGTGCAGCTGGGCCATGGCAATAGCTCAGCAGTCTAGTGTCTGCCTGGCCAGCGCAAGGAGCCAGGTGTGACCCCCAGTACCGCATGCCGTGCTGGCCACCAAAACAGGGTGTGGTAGCTAGGCAACTGCTCCACCCCCTGGTCACACACATCCACAGCCCTACATATGTGATTTATTTTGAAAATGCACTGAAACATGATGCACAGACATACACACTGGATAAAGCATAGCCCTGACTGTACACAACTCTGAATGTAATCCTGGGAAAACTGTGAGAGGAAGAGTCTGCTAAGTGCCTGCAGTTGGGAAAGCCCATGCTGCCCAGTCAGTGAGGACTGCCTTCCCCGACAATCAGTTGGGGACAAGGGAGCAGGGCTGTTGGGCTCACAACAGCGTACCCCACCCCCACCCCAAGGTCACAACAGCGTACCCCACCCCAAGGGCACTCACACGACTCACCCACTGGGGCTTGTAGAAAGCAAAGAAGGGGAGGGCTACAGGAGAAAAGGAAGCAGAAACACTAAACACAGGCTGTCCTAAGAGGAGTACTAGAAAGCAGCCAAGTGTGCAATTTAGCCTACTACATTTAAAACACGGAGGGAGACAACCCACTCGGGCCCCCTTCTGTCCCTCTCTCAGACAGATGCTTTCTTTCCCCCAATAAATATATTGTACTCTTAACCTCCATTTGTTCCTTAAATTCATTCTTCAGTTTTAGAGAACACAAACTCATCCCAGGTACTTTTAAGGCTGGAAGTTTCATTTTTCCCCTATATCATTTGGAGTTCATCCACCGAGATCATTGGAGGGGGGTATGAGTGTGCTTTCCTTTTATAGATTCCTCCAATAAATATATTCTACTCTTTTTTTTTTAATTTATTTATTAGAGAGAGAGAGAGAGAGAGAGAGAGAGAGAGAGAGAGAGAGAGAGAGAGAGAGAGAGAGGGGCCAGCTCAGCCCACCAGGGGGCAGGGCTGGCTGGCATGTGGTGCTGGGGATTGAACCGTGGTCCCTGATGCTTTTGCTAAGCTTGTTCTAAGTAGGTGCTTTAGACCACTGAGCCATCTCTCCAGCCCATATATTCTACTCTTAAAAAAAAAAACATTGAATTTAAAAACTCAACAGGTTTTAATAGCAGAATCAACAAAACTATGAAGCAATGGGGCAGTATTTTGAAAATTTATGAAGGGTTGGCCAAATAGCTCAGTGGACTAAAGCGCCTGCATGCAGGTGCAGGGGGCGTGGGGTGCAGGGCAGTGGGGTGTAGGGGGGTGGGGTACGGTGGGGATGGGGGTAGGGGGTTCGATCCCTGGGCCTGCAGGGCCAGCCCTGCCCCTGGGGGTGTGGTGAGACAGCAATTAAGGCTGGGTGTGGTGGGGCGCACCTGTAAGCCCAGCTCTTAGGAGGCTATAAACAGATGGATCACTTCGAGTCTGATCTAGTAGTGAGACCCTGAATACCCTGTAGAGCCTTCCCTAAAATACAAAAAAAAAGAGAAAGTTCATGAAAAAAGTACTTTGTTCCTAGAGTATTCTTCCCACAGAGTTCTAGTCCACAGTTAGATGATTACTCAAATGCAAAAGAGGAAACACCACTCTCTGGGGCTGGGGATACAGCTCTGTGGTAGGACACTGTGTACAGCAGCAGTGAGGCCTGGATTTCATCTCCAGCATCAGAAGGAAAGTAACATTCCCAGATACAGATGCATCTTTTTTTTTTGGAGAAGAGCAGCCCTCATTATAAATCCTAGGAAATGAGTGCAAGAGACATAAGCACAGTGAAGAATGAGGAAAAAATCTAAGAAACACGTCATACAGTAGCTGTGAAGTTAAATGTTAATAATCACTCATCAGATATTATGTTTTACTTAATGCTAATAGAAGAAATGCTGTAGGGGTGGTCAGACAGCTCAGTGGACTAAAGCGCCTGCTTAGGCAGGCGCAGAGACTGGGGTTCAATCCCCAGTGTGCCTTGCCAGTGCTGGTCCCGCCCTTGGATCACGAATGAGACTAGGCATGGTGGTGCAAGCCTGTAATCCCAGTGCTTGGGAGGCTGATCTGTATAGTGAGACCCTGTAATAAATAAATAAATATATATATATATGTATATATAATGTTCTATGTAAAGCTCATCTCCTGAGCAAAAAAAATACTGCTTCAATTAAAAATGTAGGGAACATACTATGTACAGATGACTAGATGGACATAGTGGCTCACACGTGGAATCCCAGCACTTAGAATGCTGAGACAGGAGGATTTCCACAACCTCAAGGCCAGCCTGGGTTAAGCAGTGAGTTCAAGGCCAGTCTGGATTATATAATGAGGCCCTGTCATGTAACAAAATAGACATGTGGGCATGAGAGCGTGTGGGAACACAGGTAACAACTAGAATATTCTATAACTACCTAGTTTTTTTATTTGTAAAGTATTATTTGAAAAAAGTCTGTTGTAGATTTTAAGTGTGTTTTTATTACAACTTTACCTTAATCTTTATAGGGAATGGCCTCTTCAATCTGATCACAAAGCTTGGGGGGGAGGATAAGAGAAAGTTTCACTGGCAGAAAAGTGTAAAAGGGTGAGAAATAGCAAGTGTATTTGTGTTCGTATAAAGATACTGGAGAAAGTGCGCTCAAGGCCAGCCGGAACTTCACAGCAAGATCCTCTTTCAAAAAGGAAAAAAAAAAAAAAGAGAGATCCTTGAAGGATAAAAATGGGACATGCCTGCAGTGGCAGATAGGTGGTCCTATTCTTCATGTGGTCCTGAGATCCTCAGCTACCCAGAGGCTCAGGAAAGATCAAGTTTGGGGGGGCGGGGAGATGGCTCAGTAGAATAAAAAAGCTTCCCTGGCAAGCGCAAGGGCCTGAGTTCAATTGCCGGTTCCGCAAAAAAAAAAAAAAAAAAAAGGCGAGGGTCGGGTGGCGCTGGGAGGCTGAGGCGGAAAAATCACTGTGAGTCCAAGGCCAACAGTGAGTTGAAGTACAACCTGAACTGCATAGTGAAATCTTTTCAGGACAGGATAGAAGAAAGAGGCTGATGTGGTTCAAGGGTAGTGTGCTTGCCTTGTGTGAATGAGGAAGGGAGAGGGGAAGCTGGCAGTACAGCTCAGTGGCACTGTGCCTGCCTGGCAAGCACCAGTTCCTAAGTTCAGTTCCCTACCACCACCACCACCCAGAGAGAGGAGAAGGACTGACAGACACTGGCTGAAGAGGGATGATGATTTATTTTCTTGTGTGTGGACTGAGTGAGTGTGGATAGGAGTGGAGAATTCCTTACTGTCTTTTTTCAGACATCTCATGTTTGAATTATATAGTTTACTCAAACAATTATAAAGCTTCAGTGCAAAGAACACTTAATAACCCCTCAAATACACCATTCACACAGACCTCATTTTGCACAGGTTAGTGTTACTATCTCACCGAGGACAGTGCACGACTTGAGGATGTTTAACCCACAAGAGCGAGCACAAGCAACTTCCCATCAAGTATGGAATGCTAAGATACTACTTAACACGTGGCCACCGACCAGCCAGAGCTGTCTAAACCCAGCCGCGCTCTATACCAACACAAAAACTCAAGGAAGTGGACAGGAACCACAGCCTCCTGCCATCAGCAGACCTATTTTCAATCCCCAAGTTTTATCTCACCCCCACCGAACTGAACTGAGCCTTTTAACTTGGTAACCAAGGGACTGCTCAGAAGAAAGGCAGCGGTGCAGCGGCACAGCTCTTCACGGGGCTCTCTGGAGGAGCCTTGCTTAGGACTTCCTCCCCTGTGGGACAGAGGGCTGCGCGGCGATCTTTCAAAGCCACAGAATCCCACATCTTCCACGCACATATCTGTGCTGATGTTGCTAGATCATGATGCAACACAGTAACTGCATGTAAAAGCACACCTGATATCCAGGGGTTCATTTTCAAATGTCAAGAACAGTGAAGTCATTGAGATCTCAGCCTGGGAAATCTCAAGAATAAAAGGGTTGGGGCCAGGGATGGCTCAGTAGAACAAGCGCTTCCCTGGCAAGTGCAAAGGCCGGAGTTCAATCCCCGGTTTCGCAAAAAAAAAAAAAATAGAATTAAAGGGTTGTCATACACATTTTTAAAAGTTATAAATGTTAGACTGGGCATGGTGGTGTGCACCTATAATCCCAGTTCTTGAGAGACTGTAAACAGGCGGATCACTACTGAATCCGATCTAGTAGTGACACCCCGAAAACACCCTGTAGACCCCTCCCTAAAATACAAAAAAAAAAAGTTATAAATGTTTCTTTTTAGGCAAAGTAATACCTATTTAGTAACCATTCAAACATCCTTCTGGAACTACACCATGAAGCATCCCTATCAACTGGAGGGCTATACCCATCATTCCTGCATTCAAGAAGCCATAAGCATCACTCTATTTCAGAAAGCATCCTGAATCATGAGGAGGAGGCATTCATTATCAACACTGCTCCAAAAAGGCAAACAGGGACAGTGCTTGTAAGTTATGGTTTAAACTTATGGGAGGGAGGGAGTATTAGGGGAGTGGGGATGAATTTTTATATGCTGATAAAACCAGAAAAGT